TCCCCGGGCTCCGGGCTCTGATTGACATTTCTACGGGGCCGCAAGCCCCTCCTCTCTGCGCGGCGCTCCCTCCTCTCGGCCGCCGGAGCCGCCTCTCCCCGCGCGGCGTTCCTCACTGCCCTCCTCTCCGCGAGCTGTGTCGCGCCTCGCTTCCTTCGCCCTCCTCTAGTTTTCACTCCCCCTCCTCTCCCTTCCTCTCCCCTCCCCGCGCTGCGCCTCTTCCCCCAGGATCGCTTCCGCTCCTCCGCTGTCCTGGACGCTAGGAACTCTCTCCTTCTCCTTCTCTTTCCCTGGCTCCCTATGGCTTTCCCCCCTTTTTTGTTCCCTTCACTTTTTCTTCTCTCCCTCCTCTCTTAAACCCTTCCCCTGGCTCACGCGCACCACCTCCTCCGACCTTCCTGGCCTTTCTGCGCCGTGGTCTAGGGCGGCCTAAAGTTGCCGACACTCAGGGCGCTGCGCGGGGGGTGTGTGTCCGCGTCCGTGTCTGTGTGTCCGTCCCCGCCCTTCCACCCCCTCCCTCACCCTTTCCCAAATCTCGGGTCTGACGTCTCGCCCTCTTATTCGACTTTTCCTGGCGTCTCCTCGCCGAGTCGCCAATCGCCTGGGCGCCTTACGGGCGAGGCCGCCCACCCCCGCGGATACCGCGCGCGGGGCGGGGCGGGGCGGGAGCCGGGGCGCAGCGAGTCCCTTCCCGCCCCCTCCTGCCTGCGCCGGGAGGGGGAGCGAGAGGCGCTGGGACGCGGGTTAGGACTGGGTCAGCTCGCCCCTCCCCGCCTCCGGCTCCGCGGCGTTTCTCCCCCAGCCGCAGCGACAGGCCCGGGTCGGGACGGACCCTGGGCCAAGGGAGACCCCCGGGTTTTTTTTTTGCCCAGGGCCCCTTTTCAGCTCGCACCCTTCGACTCCCGGCCTCGGAGCGGTCGGGAGGGAGGGAGAAGAGTGCGCGAGGGGTGAGGGAGTGCGTCCTAAAGGCGTTATTAAAGGCCATCTCACTGCCCAGGGGGTGGGGAGTCCACCCTGCACCCGGGAGGACCAAACCGTGCAATTTGCCACATTAACGCCTCCCGGGTGTCGGGGTGCGAAATCCCTGTTGGAAATGGCGGGCTGGGCTCGGTGGCCAAAGGGTGGACCCTCCGGAGGTCTTAGAGAGCCGCGAAGAATCAGCAGAGCTAGAAGGAGTGGAAGAGGGGAGGAACTGGGAGCCAGACGTCGGAGGGCCCAAGAACTTTCAGAGAGTACTTCGAGAAGTTTCTCTATGGGCATTTTTGGGGTCTGTCGAGATCCTCGTTTCACTAGCTCTTTCCCCCGCTCCCAGGTTCCTGTGCCAACCCGTTCTCCTTCTGCAAGGATCCTCCCACCGCCGGGGAGGGGTGGGGGGATGGGAGGCAAGACTTTGGGTTGTGTGGTGGAGAATTTCCTAAATCAAACTTGAAATATCAGTATTCAGGCGCCCACCTTCACGGATTGGGGCGTACCGTCAAGAAAGGCATTGAAATGCCCGGAACTGCTGCGGCTCTGGACTAAGTGCCTTAGGCCGCGGCGGCGACCCACTCACGGGCCTGGCCTGAGGCAGTCGTGCCTCGGGGACAACTTGGGGGACGGCGACTCTGCCTTGGAGTGGCCAGCCTCAGCTTGAAGGCGGAAAGCTGCCACCGGGCACTGATGGATCAAGGAATCGAATCCAAATTCCACTGGAGTGGAGGGATCGGGGGTCTCGGCCCCCGCTGTCTCTGGTCACTGCCGCTCTGGGGACTCAGTTACATAATAAAAAGTTTCTTCTTACCCCACCCCAATTCCTGCCACTTTCTTCCGACTGGTAGATGACTTCCGTGGATTCGAACGCCAAGAATAATGAGGGAAAAGACAAAAGAAAGTTGGGGACGACCAGGTTTAGGATTCCATGGGGGGGAACTGGTGTCTTCCCCAATTGAGTCTGAACTGCTTCCCTTCCTCTGTCCTGCGCCTCTGCCTGATGCTAGGTGTTGGCTTTAGGTGAACCTTGCCGAAGGAGGCGACATCAGGGGCAGCTCCGTGGTCTTGAAATGTCTCCCCGGCGCCTGATTTCGTTTCCAGTTAAACCTTTCAGAGAATGTCATAGGGAATCTTGGGTTCACCTTCCCACGAAAAATCTTAGGGTTGCAAAATCAGGGGTAACATTCCCCAGGGTGTGTTCTAGGTGCAGACCTTGAGGTTCCACAGCCCCGAAATCCTAGAGTTTGCAGGGTGTGGTGGCACCAGACCAGGAGGGCGGTGGGAGAAAGATTCTGAGCTGGGAGAACGGGGGTTGCACTGTTAAGTGCCAGGGTGAAACGCCTGATATTTAATTCATTCTTCCTGAAGGAAAAGAAAAAAAGTAATCATGAGCCTCAGAGATGCTCCTTCTGCATTAACCAGTTAATGACCCAGCTGCGTGGGGAAAGAGGACCCGGAGAGGCCAGACTGCTAAAAGGAACCAGCCACGCCTGGGTGCCCTCCCCCCGCCCCCGGCCCAGGGGGTGAACCTTCACAACACGACCAGAACCCAAGAACCTTGCTTAATTACATCTCTCCACGAGCCCCAGGGAGCAGAAGCCACCTCCCTGGCTACCCTGGTCTCCAGCTGGGAATATTCTTGGCCAGGCCCTGAAATAGGCACCCCACCCCCCAGTCGGGATTCAGCATCTCTAAGGAGCCCCGATGTGGTGCTGGTCCCTCAACTGGACCGTGCTAGTGGAACCCGAATCCGGACTCAACTCGTGGGTCCACGGGCAGTCGAATATTTTCCAAGGATTTTTAATCCAAGAGATTAGGTCAGAGTGGTACTCTCGTAAAGCCAGGAAAAGCAGGTGCACGGGAAGTTGATTTGGAAACGACAGCGCTCACAAACTCGCCGCACGCAGAAGCTTCTCCATCATCTCTCCTTCTTCCAGTATTCCTAACGCACAAAGCGCTGTGGAGACTCGCTGCGGACGTTCTTTGAACACAGCCCAGGGCGCAGGGAGTGTACCGAAAGGGTGTCAGTCGCACACACGTGGCGCACACTACAGTGTGCGCTGGACGCGTACCAGAGCCGCTGCCCGACGTGTACCCCGGGCCTGAGGCCCACCAGTTTCAGGGGCTGCTCCGCGCACTGCACACAAGCTTGGAGCCACCAAGGCCCCTTTCCTGCCCCCTCCTCGCCCAGCCCCGCGGTGCGCGCGCGTCCGGGTGGTGGGGAACCCCTGTAGCTCTGTGTTTCCCAGCCAAGGCCCATCTTTCTTCCCAAGGCCCGGAGTCCCCGGCGGCAGTGCAGGCTGGCTATCCCTCGGCTTCCTGCAGACGCCGCCGGCGCGCGCTCCCACCGCTCCCTCCCCCCGCGCTCGGGTTACAGGTTAATGAAATGCTCGTTTTCCTCAGTCATTTGTTTTGTTTTCCTGCAAAGTTCTGATAAGTAGCTAACCAACGAAGCTTGTAATTACAATCTTACAGAAACCGGGCCGATCTGTATATAAATCTCACCATCCAATTACAAGATGTAATAATTTTGCACTCAAGCTGGTAATGAGGTCTAATACTCGTGCATGCGATAATCCCCTCTGGATGCTGGCTTGATCAGATGTTGGCTTTGTAATTAGACGGGCAGAAAATCATTATTTCATGTTCAAATAGAAAATGAGGTTGGTGGGAAGTTAATTTCTCTCCGCTCTGTGAAGCGTAGACAAGAATTTAATGATTTAATTACAGTTGTAAGCCCTTTCCATGAGACTTAAATTGAGCTGAGAATATTTTTTTCCTTCCCTCTCTCTCCCTCTCTCTCTCTTTCGCATTCTCTCTCTCCGCTATTAGCAGCCACACGGACCCAGTGCGTGGCCTGGCATCGCACCGGGAGGAATTCGTATTTGGCCAGGAATCCATCCCAGGAGGCGCGGGTCAGGGATCTCCAGAGCCATCCCGGAAAATGTTGCCGCTCCCTACCAGCCGCCAGGGCCTCGGAGGCCTTCCCGGTGCCTGGAGAAGTGACCGGGAAACTTTGGGGGAAACTTTGCCAACTTCGCTCTCTTGCACGGGAGAAGCCGCCCACCGGAATGGCCGCAGCAGCAGCGGGTCGCGAAGCGCTGGTTGGGCCCCGGGCCAGGCCTACGCTCTCCCCAGCGGCCTGGCCGCCCAGGGAGAGGACGGAGGCCGACCTCCGGGTCTCCTGCGGCTCTGCTCCGCCCCGGAGCCACCCGACCCGGCCCACTCCCCTGGGTCTCGGCGAGGCCCGCGATGTGCAGCGCCCCAAACGATGGCCGATGGCCTAGATGGAAAACCCCGGACCTTAGCGTGAATAATTTTATTTTTCTTTCCCTCTCCAGGGTCGACTTTTTTCCCACCTGCAGTTTCGCTTCCCTCCCTTCCTTTGTTTCCCCTGTCCCTCGCACTGTCTGTGTATTTGATTTCTAGGTCATTCTTTTGGTCTTTCTTCTGCGGCTCCCTCATTTGTTCGGTTTTACACTTTTTCTCAGGGCCACGTATTTGGCTTTTCTCCATCCGGCTCCGTCCCTCTCCTCTTTTGTCCCCGTTTCCCTCTCCTGGTGATGGTGTCCCC